GGTAGTGTGCAAATAATGCCTTTTTAAAAGCTGTTCTTGTTTTTTTTTTTAAGAGCTGGGTAACCTGGACTTTGCAGTAAGTCCTGGGCAGCTCTGTAAACTGCAATCAGTCCTTGCACAGTGGTGCCAGATAACCCGAGTTTCTAGGGCTCCCCTGTAATTACCCGACCCGCAATTACAGCGTATGGCAACGGGGGGTCTCAGGGTACCTGCCTCTTTGCCTCCCTTCGTGTGCTCTGCTGGGTTCTCCGCGCGTCCTACGAGACCCCTCTTTGAGTCCTGCTTCCTGAGTTTGTTTGCTTTTCTTACGCTCTTCACCAATTCCTATAATTTTTCAGCCGTGTGCCCAGGCCATCATGTGTCAGGACCCCTTCCGAAATAATTAGCTTTCCCTAGGTGCTTGCCCACAAGCTGATCAACTTGCAGAGTCAGAGAGTCGACCTTCAGCCAAAATTCAGCTGTGCAGCTGGGAGCAGGGACGCTCCAGGTGCGAGGAGGCCAGGGAGCCTCGCTTTCTTCTCTGCAAGAAAAAAGGGTTTTTTTCAGAACAAGCAGTTCTAAAGAAATCAAATACAAAAGAGGCCTCGGTTCTGCATTCCCTTTTTCAAAGGGACCTCTTTCTCCCCAGAGGGACGACAGCAGAGGTGGGTAAATCAAACCCGACTCCAGAGCCGGACGGGACCCACCTCTCGCTTCCTGGCGTCTAAATGCGCCGCTGAAAAACAGACCTGCTGAGTGTTGCCGGTAAGGGACACGGGACGCGCCAGCCGTTGGTGATAAAGGCCTTTCACCAGTGTACTCTGCTGCGAGAGGATGGGCGTTTTGGTGCCTTCAGCTGCTGATGTTGCTCTTGCACTTAGTCTGGACTGAATTTGTCGTGACTCCCACGCGCTCGCCCCCCGCGCCTGGTGCCGCGGGGACAATTTTTCCCTGCTGGGCAGACGTCCCCGGCTCTCCTCCGCGCTCCCAGAAGGGACGAAATGCGCCCTCATACATACAGCAAATTTCTCCTGCTCTGCTCTCTCGCTCACAAACATGCACATTAAAGGTCATTTTCTGTTGACAGAAATGAGGTCTCCACCAGAGGCTTTAATTACCTGCCAAAAGCGAGTGGTTTTGCAGTGGCTTGTCTGCAGCCCTCGGACGACGGGATAAGTTTGGCATATAAACAAGGCCTGATTAAAGTCAACGCGTAGCTGTTTGAGGCCCTACTGTGGCAGCTTCGCAAGGCTGGTTTAGCTTTGGTTTAAAAAAAGATGCGGCAAGTCTGGCATTTCTCTCACACTTCGCGGGAGAAGGGCTGGCGCCCACCGTGCCCTGCGGCTCGTCCCTTGCCTTTAGTCCTGCGGCTCTGCGGGGGCATCACGTGGGATCAATATTTCGGTTTTGGTCTGGGGTCTGCCACTTCCTTTCTCTGTATGTAACTGCAGCCTTTTTTTCCCCCCAATTTTATTCCACCTCTTTTTGGATCCTTTGCAAAGGTGATGGCAGGCATGGTATGGCAGTGACACATGATGTGCCTCTTAGCATTTTAAAAATAAAATACTGCTTTGAAATCTTTGCTTATTATGTTGTCTCCTAGTATCAGTGAGTTATCCATTAGTGGCTTTGTGTCACCTTCTCCTGTGCACGACAAAGCATGTAGAGCATGGCATCTGCTAAGTGGAAAATGCATTTTTTCTGTTGGTCACAATGTTCCAAGAGCCAAACTCAGATTTGTGGTCAGAAAAAGCTACGGCTTTTTGTTGCTGCAGAGCAGTGTCCGCATTCCCTCCGCTCTCAGCCGCCAGCTCGGGACGCTGGGGAGCAGAAGCGCGCCCCGCGGAGCGGCCTGGAGCGGATTTGTTGCTGTTCCAGGGTTGCACGCTGTGGTGTTTAAGTCCCCGTCAGCTTTGCAGCTTTGGCCATGAGTGGCTTTCCCCATGGAGCAGTGTCTCTGCAGCAGGACATCTTGACCAGGAACCAGAGCCTGGAAAAATTTCCTCTTTGCTGCCCTTTGGCCTTCAGCTCTCTGCTCTGTGCAAAGGCACATCATTGCCTCCAGACCTTCCACATGCAGACCTCGAAAAATGCAGCTAACTGGAGTTTAGGACAGAACATCTCAGAAT